CAGACAGGTGTCGGCAGGGAGCGCCCGGGCCTCTGCTGGGGTGGGGGCAGCAGCGGGGCCCTTATGATCATGCATCTTGACCCCGTGGGCAGGTGAGCCTGGAGCTGGCCAAGGTACTGCTGCACCTGGAGGAGAAGACAGCCGTAGCGGGGTTCGAGGGGCTGCGCCAGAGGGCGCTGGTGGCCGTCACAGTCACAGACCCGGCACGGGTGAGTCCCTGCGCTGTGCGGAGCATGGGTCGTGGCCCCGATGGGGGCTGCGCAGGGGGCCCTCTCTAGGGTCGTGGCCCTCAGCCGCCTCCCGCCCGCCCGGCCTAGGTGGCGGAGTACCTGGCCATGCAGTTCTATGCCCTCAACTACAGTCTCCGGCAGCGCATGGACATTCTGGACGTAAGTGCCCAGGCCTCTGCCCTCCCCAATCAGAGCAGCACTGGCGGGCCTGGTGCAGAGCCCTGGAGGGGGACGGGGCAGGTGTTTGCCAGAATCTTCGTGGAGGGACCAGAGGTCTCTCCAGCCCCTGTGGCTAGCGTGAGAGGCTGGGACCAGTGTCTGTCTGGTGCTGACACAGCACGGCCTTGGGGGCTGCATCCTTTGTGTTAAATAACGGCTTCACTGAGTTGTGATGCACACTTCGTAAATTCAGTTTTATGATAAGCAAAATGGGGTATGTTCACACGGTGGAGCATGACTTGGCCTTAAACAGGAAGAAAATTCTGACATGATACTCAGTGAAGTAAGCCAGACTCCAAAGGACAAACAGCATATGATCTGACTTACACAGAAAATGGATGGGCGGGGAGGGGCAGGAGTCCATGTTCCCCGGGGCAGAGTTGTATCTGCGGGGACGGGAAGGCTCTGGAGGTGCCAGGGACGGTGGCGCTTTTCCTGGGTCGGAGCTCTCTTCCCTTTGCCCACGAGACGGGGGTGGCGGGACTGGGGGGGCTTTGGGAGAAGTGACCGGGGCCTGGGCTCCTCAGCAGGGAGTGCCCACCTGCCCCCCACAAAGCGGAATGCACCTGCAGGACCAGATCCGACTTGCCGCGGGGCTCCTGGAACCTCCCCACGGGGACCGCTGGGCCCTCCACGGTCCACCTCACCTTGAATTTGGAAACTGTCGTCCTTCCCCAGCAGGGTGGCGGCTGCCCTGGGTCTCCTCTCCTCTAGGTCCTGGCCCTGGCTGCCCAGGAGCTGTCCCGGCCCGGGCGCCTCAGGAGGGCCACCCAGAAGGGCTCCCCAGGGCCCGGCTCCCAGCCCAGTGTGGCCGCGGTCCCAGCCTGGCAGGCGGTGGTGGAGGAGCGTGTCAGACGCAAGACCCGGCGGTTCTGCAAGGTCAGCTGGGCCCCGGCGTGGCCTCCCAGATGGGACTCTGCCCCGCGGGCGCGGTGCCCACTCATGCCCCATGAAGGGAGGGAGGGTTTCGATGATGGACGCATGCCACAGGGCATCAGGCTGAAGGGGCTGTAAGGCTAGGGGAACAGCCCCGAGGTTCAGCAGCAGCGGTTGGCCACCGGGTGTGACACAGGGCCACGTCTGGAGACGTTCTCATCCTCACCGGGGTGGGGGGGGCCCAGCCATCCCAAGGGTCCCCGTGTATCCACGGGGCCTTGAGTGCGTGTGTGTTTAGCAGGGTTCCGCGGGGCGGGCAGCAGCCACTGGCCCCAACGAATTCAACGCGGTGGCTGGTTACTTCTTCTTCCCCCTCCTTCAGCGTTTCGACAGGTGAGGGCATTTTCTAGAGCGTGTGGTTTGGGGAACAGGAGCCCTGGATGCTCCCAGGCTGGGGGCTGAGGTGGGCCCAGCGGAGTCAGGACCTTGGCTGTGGTTGTTCGTAGCATAAGTGACGATAGAGCGTCAGGATGTCTGTCACAGATGCTAGGCTCATGGCAGGGCTGGGCCAGAGCCTCCCTGGTGTCTCAACACAGCCGCCCCCACATATTTCCTTGTCCCAGCTTCCTGCCCCAGGCCGGGCTTGACCATGCGGCCCTGTAGAGTGACGGGGTGTCTGTCCACTGCCTCCCCCTTGCAGCTCTGGGCAGCACGTGGGGTGAGGAGGGCCCTCCAGGCCTGGGGTCCCTCTGTGGCCCAGGAGGTCGGGGAGCCAGGCCTGAGCGCCTGGCCGGCATCATTGCCGGGTTCTGTTGTAGGCCTGTGGTGACCTTTGACCTTTTGGGAGATGACCAGCTGGTCCTCGGGAGACTGGCCCACACCTTAGGGGCCCTGATGTATCTGGCCGTGAACACCGTGGTGAGAGCCTGACGACCCAGCCCGGGGAGGCTGGCCCCGCCGCCCTTGCCTCGGGGCGGGCGTGTTGCGCCTTGTGGGCCCTGCGGCAGGGGCCGCTGGCACCTGGACCCCTGCCCACTGGTGTGTCTGTTGCAGGTGGCTGTGCCCATGGGCAAGGCCCTGCTGGAGTTCGTGTGGGCTCTTCGTTTCCACGGGGATGCGTGAGTGGCCGTAGGGCCGGGGGCAGTCAGGTGGCGGGGTCTCGGATCCTGTGGGTTGTGGACAGCAGCAGGTGGGCCGGGCTGGGGTGGGCAGCACTGCACGGCAGCTCCTCGCAGCTCAGCCTCTGTCTTCTTGGCAGCTACGTGCGCCGGGGCCTGCTGTCCGCCATCTCCTCCGTCCTTCTCAGCGTGCCAGCCGAGCGGCTGCTGGCGGACCTGCCAGACGAACTTCTGGAGGCCCGGTCCTGGCTGGCAGGTGGGTGCCGGGCCAGGGCTGAGGTGGTGAGGCTGAGGGGGCCATCGGCTTGTGGGTGGCGGGACACGGTTGGTCACTTCAGGGCACCCTGCAGGGAACGTTGGAGCACTGCTTGTATCCAGGCTGGATGGGTTCGCCCTCTGAGGTTACTGGTGTCTTGCCGCCCCCCCGCCCGGTCATGTTCTTTTTAAAAACTCCCCTGTGGACAGCATGACCTCTGCCTGTGGGCACTTGAGCCACGGCCCTCAGCACACGCTGTGCCCGTGTGCACCTGCGCGGCTCACAGCTCAGGGGGTTCTTATGACGGCCTTTCTCTGCCCACCTGCCCCCACGAGGCCACCAGCCCCTGCAGCCCAGCCTGTTGGGTCTTTGCTGGTTTTCCAGCCGTCCTCGCGCAGCAGCTGAGGCGCCTCCCCAGCCCAGGTGCCCCGCACTGAGCCCGGTGCCCTGACACTGTGCGCATTCCCTTCTATCTTCGCAGATGTGGCGGAGCAGGACGCGGACGAGGACTGCCGGCTGCTGGCGGTGAAGGCGCTGCTGCTGCTGGAGAAGCTCCGCGACAGGCTCCTCCCACTCTCCTCTCCTTAGGCCCTGACCCCTGACCCTTGAGCCCGGGAGGCACGTCGCTGGATGAGCAAGGCGCCTGTTGCAGGCCAGAGTGCCTGCGGCTTGGCTCAGACATCCACCAGGGCCTCGGGCACCGCCCCCCACAGCCTGGCACCGGGATGTGGCCGCTGCGGCTCTGGACTCGGGCTGTAGGATGGCCGCTGGGCAGGAGCAGGGAGCCGCGGCTCAGCCTGGCCTCCGTGCAGACCGCAGACCGGGGTGTTGAAAACACCGGAATCAAGTGTGAGAGGGAACAGATGGTTCTTCTTGGGCAGGGACCCTGGTTGCAGACGGGGAGACGCGAAAATGGGGCCAGGAAGGGGACGCGGGCCCTTGAGAACGTAGGCTTTATTTGGAGAATTTCAGCAAATAGACGCGGGGCTTAGGGTGGGAGAGGGTGAGGCAGCCCCTGACAGCCCCTCGCGGTGGGAGCTGGTGATGGAAGGCGCAGTCTGGAGGCACAGAGCCTCCGGCCATAGCCAGCGCCAGCTGCCGCCACCCTGTGTCAGGACGGGCTGTGCTGCAGGAACCAGTCAGACGTGCTGCTGGGCGACCCGCGTGGGTGCTAGGAGACACCTCAGGTTCTTAGGCTTCACACCCTGTAGTCGGGGAACGTCATGGAGAAAATAAACCTACTCCCTTGACTGCAAAGGGGCTAAAACCACCTTAGCAAGGATCAGGGACTCAGAGGGGTGGCTTAGAGACGCCCCCCGACACCCGCCAGACAGGCCAGCATGTCTTCCTGCAGCTCTGTCTATGGCACACAGCTCGACAGGGACGTTGGGCTCCCCTCCGGGAAAGGTGGGCGGGCCCCAGAGCCTGGCCTCGGCTCAGGGCCCGCTTTCCACCTCCTCGGCCACCTCCTCGTCCGCCCCCTTGTGCTCCTCCACGCTGTTGTGCCGCATGCGCTCGGGCACCGCGCAGGTCAGAGGGAGCCCCAGGCCCTGGTGCACGGCGTCCACGGTGTGCTGGCTCACGTAGTAGGACATGTTGGCGGAGGGCAGCCGCCGCCGCATCTCCTCCAGGTACTTGTAGGCCTGGGGACAGAGGGCAGCCAAGACGGTCAGCACACAGAACAAGGGCCCGGCCGCGGTCAGAGTGGGCAGCAGAGGATGGGCTCCGGAGACCTCGTGACCTTCCCAAGCGTGGCGGCGGCCGGGGCTCTGGAGCCAGTGCTGTGTGACCTTCCCTGGGAGAAGTCCTGTGGGCAGGCCGACAGCAGGATCTTGTGTCTGGGGCCACGGCCCTGGAGGGTGGGCCCCCCGGATGCTCACGGAGAACCCTGGGAAAGGATTCACCCGCTTCATTCACTGGGGGGAAGGGCAGCACAGTTTACACACACAGGGTTTGTCTGCTCTTGTGCCACAGCTGTTGGCGTTCACAGTACAACTACGGAGCCGTAAGCCACAATGAGGGTCTGTCAGCCACAGTGAAAGATCCCACATGATGCGAGGAAGGCCCTATGTGCTGGTGCAGCCAAATAAATTTTAAAAAAAGGTTTGCCTTGTGTATTTTGACCAGGCGTCCAGTCTAGCGCAGTCAGTCGGCCCTGTGGTTAGTTAGTCGTGTGTGTGTGGTCCTTGGCCAGGGGCTGGTATTTCCTATGGGGCCTCTTCTGGTTCTGCCAAGTGGGAATCGGGGGGGGCATGGGGGCCACCCAGGAGCTCGGGGGGGGGGGGCGGGTGGTCTGAGGCAGGATGGACATGCTTATACCTGCTCCACCTGTGCCCCTGCGGGGAGGGTCACACGCGAACATGAGGGGCCTCACATGGCTTGTGTGAGTTCACTAAGAATCAATTCAGGATGTGAATAGTTTCCAGGAACTCTGACTTTATGAGGAAATGATGGTCACATCTGGGCATTTCTTCCAGATGATACAATTCTAGAGCAGTCATCTCAGATATAATTGGGAGAGAGAAACAAAGATTGTGAGATAAGCTAGGCTATTTGGAGGGACGAGGGGTGCAGCATATAGGTGCCCAGACTCCGTGATGACGGGGAGGCAGTGTTGGGCACCAGGGCCGTCCCTCATGTCTGCTGAGTGCCGGCTGCAGGCCAGGAGCCGTGCTGGGCGCACAGGAAGCCCAGGCCAGGCTGGTGGGCACTGTGGTGAGAGGCCTGGCCCAGCGAGGGTGGAAGTGGTTGGGCAGCTGCGGGGTTCGGGCTGGGAGCTGCTACATGGATGGGAGGGTGGGAAGCAGGAAAGGACTTCAGGGGGCAGGGGGACTCGGCAGCGCACAGGGGCAAGGCAGCAGCGTCTTCAGGAGGTCTGGGGGTCTGTCAGGGCTGTTACGACGGGAGGGGTGTCCTGGGGGAGACGGGGAGGACCCCCCCCAAGCTGCAGGGAGGGTTTCTGTGTTCCCCTCCTGGGAGGAGACATGCAGGCCTGCCCATCTCTATTTACAGGTTTTTTTAAATTTGGAGTTACTGTATCCCCCAGGGGACACCCCTTGGTGGACCAGTGGCTAAGACTCCGCCCACCCCTGGCCAGGGGACAGGGCTCCATCCCCGGTCAGGACATCGAAGATCCTGTGTGCTGCAATGAGGACCTGGTGCAGCCAAATAAGTAAATAAATAAAAGAGCTTAAAAATCAAAATCCCACAGGCTTCAAAGCTTGAGACCACAAAGAATTTGGTGAAACGCTTGCAATGTGATCTGATACTGAGGATTCAGAGGTCTAAGCATCTCTGCTGTCCAGCTTGTGTTCTCCTAAAAGGGGAACACTGTTTGGTTCACTTCAGAGCTGTCTCCACAACAACAGAAGGGCTCAGAGCTGGAAGTGGACGGGCCGAGAGGACACGGGTGAGCCAGCCAGGAAGTCTGAGCTCACGGTGCTGACCCCCAGGCTGGGGCCGCGGGCGGATGCTCGGCTTCCCTGGGAATCAGGGCCACGCCCCACAAGGCTGGCACGGCCCACTGGCAACACTTCTGGAACAACTGGTCAATGCTGGGCTTGTGAGCGACTGGGAAAGGAACGGGCCTTGGGTCACTGCCTGCGGGGGCTGGGCCGGGCAGCGCTCTGGGCCGCGGCAAGGTATGTGTGCAGCCCGTGGGGACACGACAGGAAAACATGGTGGGCAGAGCTCTGCTGTCTGCACGAGAGGATGGAGGCTTCCGCTGGGCTCTCTTTAGGTCAGCCTCCCACCAGCAAGGAAAGACTGCACAAACGCACCCAGCTCCAGAGAACAACCGTGGCAGGTGTGTTGGGGCCCACGCTCAGGTGACTTCTGCTTGTAACCACTGCCTCAGGGAGGCCCGGGCCCAGGTGCTGGGAGATGTGAGAGGCACGCAGAAGCCAAACCCTGTCGTTGAGAGAGCCAGAACTGGAACCAGAACCGCGTCCACATGGCAGCCGGCATGCGAGGAACAGGGGAGCCCTGGAGCCCAGGTCCCGGCCTTGGCTGGACCCTGACACTGCACGCAGTGTAGACGGGCCGGAAAGAATACGGCAGAAAAAAATATTTACAGATTTCCCAAATACAGTCTCAAAAGGATCAAACTGTTTCCAAGTAACTTACTCTCATCTCAGAAGAAAGCTCAGTGATGTCTAAACACACACACACAGGGCTTCCGTGGTGGCTCGGTGGATGAGAACTCACGTGCCCGTGCAAGGTGAGTGGGCGCAATCCCCGGTTTGGGAAGACCCCACATGCCATGGAGCAACTAAGCCCGTGCACACAACTACTGAGCCTGTGCTGTAGCGTTCATGTGCCCGAGAGCCCGCGCTCTGCAACGAGAAGCCCGTGCACCTTAGCGAGGAGTCGCTCGTGTTCGCTGCAGCTACAGAAAGCCTGGGCACAGTAACGAAGACCCAGCACAACCAAAGCTAAATAAATAATGTTAGAAAACACACACAGACACTCACACAGGGACACAGACACACACACACAAAGACAGCGTCGCCTGACAACCTAAAACACCTGCAGTGTCTAGAATCCAATACATAATCACCAGGCCTGCAAAGCAGCAGGAAAATACGAACCACAATAAAGAGAGAAGACTCGACCAACAAAAACACCAGGACCTAAGCTGAGAGTGGAGGACTGTGCGGTAAACACGCCGCATGCACAGGAAGGCGGAGGAGAGCGCTGCACAGTAAGGAGACCAGGAGAGCGCAGTGTGCTGTGGGGGCCGCGGGGGTGGGACCCAAAGGACAGACGCGAGTCTCCGCACGGCTGGTGCGCTTTGCCGCACAGTGCGGAGTGACTACGCTCCAAAGAGAGAGGAGAGACATGCGAGATGGAGGGAGGAGAGGCGGTCCAGACCCACCAGGGGTGCAAGTGCGGACGGAGCGACAGGAGAGCTGTAACCTGCAGCAACAGCACGGCAGCTGCACCAGTGCAGACAGGAACATTCTGAGAGAGGGACCGGCTGAGCCGGGGCCAACACACACGCCAGACGGGCCCAGATGGGGGTGCAGGGGCCCCCAGATGGAGAGGACACAGTGGCGCACCAGTAAGAGGACAGGCCCCTCGTGACTCGAGGGGGGAGCACGGGCGCTCGTGGGGGAGGGGGGCCTGCAGACGGGGCGCGTGACCCCCACAGTGAGACACAGTGTGCATCCCCTACATCGAGGCCACGGTGAGCCGTCCTGCATGGGGACTTTCCAGATGAGGTCCCTGTGACATCGGCCAGCAGGATTTCTCCAATGTGTAATGAACTGTGTTCACATTTGCACAACCCAGTGAACCAGTATTTTCCAAATGACACTGTGATGTGACAAAATCACGTGTGTGTTCAAGATCCAAGACAGACCAACAGGTTCTAAGGTAACAAGTACGAAAAGCAAGGCCTGGTCTCTGACTGCGGAGTGTGGCGAGGAGACAGACCCACGGACACCAGGCGGGGGTGCGGGAAGGCCCGCCCCTTCTCGCCTGTATGCTGGTGTGAAGCTGGGTCTTCATCACAGGCCTCATATTTCAGTTCAAACAACCTATTTTGCCAAATAGAATGCAGAAATCAGACATTAAAGAGACTGGCAAAAATGTACAACAAAGCTACTTTTCTCACTAAAGGTCTTTGCTTTGGAAAATGCTGTTATTTTAAATAAAAATGTTACCGGTGTTACCATATCATGGGCTTTTTATGATTAAGTAAGTTAACAAATATTTTACAAATTTATTATTTTCTAATATGGTTAAGTATTGGTAGACATCACCCACATAAACAAAAGCTCTTCAAGCTGTCAGTAACGTCCCCAGTGTAAAGGGGTCCCCAGATCAAAATGCTCGAGAACTGTTCTATTACACCGAATGATCAAGAGCCTTCCAGAAAGAGTGCTCCGGGGCCAGAAGTCCACCTGCACGCTCCCTCCCTGGGACCTGACGTCCATCTCACTGAATAAATGCCCTCGGAAGCTCCAGGAGCCAGGCACCCCAAGTGCAAGCAGATGGAGGAGTGGGGGCAGGAAGGACTCTGTGCCCCTTGAATGGCTCAGAAAATACTCATTTTATGTGTAAAATATAAATCTTAAAACATTTATAGAATGAATAAATAAATACGACAAAATATTAAAAAAATCATGAATCTGGTAAGGGGTAATTGGGGTTCTATTATTCTTGTAACTTCCCAGTTTTGAAGTATTTCAAAATAAGAAAGGTAGGAAAGGAAGGGACTTCCCTGGTGGTCCAGCGACTGACTCCACGCTCCCGATGCAGGATTCCCAGGTTTGACCCCTGGTCAGGGAACCAAATCCCACATGCCTCAACTAAGACCCAGCGCAGCCAAATAAGTATTTTTTAAAAAGACTGAAAAATCAAACCAACACCGAGCCACAGGGAAGCCAAGCCCCCGCCCGGACCTCACCGTCTGCAGGTCCCCCACGTGTACGTGGCGCTCCACCAGGAAGCCGTAGACGTCCCCCACGCGGACGCTGCTGTCCAGGTGCGGCTCCTCCAGGAGCAGCTGGCACTGCCGGATCGACTCCTCGGGGTCCTCTGTGTAGGTCCTGCCGGGAGCAGGGACAGCCTGAGCCCCAGCCCCACACAGGGCTGCCTGTCAGGCGGCAGGGCAGGCCCTTGGCCTGGAGGATGCAGCTTTGTGAAGGTAACTGCTGTGAGGTCCATGAACTCACTGGTGAGTCATGTCATAAACTCACTGATTTGTTTAACAAAATGTGCTGACCACTCGCAGGGCCACACTGGACTCTGGAGGGCACTGGCCTGTTCACACCCCGCCCTACCCGGGGCGGGGGGCCTGGGCCGGAGGGCGAGGGCCTGGAGAGAGCGCACTGACCCGGGAGGGGCTTGCGCAGGGCCCCCCAGGGAGGGTAATTGGGGTTCTATTATTCTTGTAACTTCCCAGTTTTGAAGTATTTCAAAATAAGAAAGGTAGGAAAGGAAGGGACTTCCCTGGTGGTCCAGCGACTGACTCCACGCTCCCGATGCAGGATTCCCAGGTTTGACCCCTGGTCAGGGAACCAAATCCCACATGCCTCAACTAAGACCCAGCGCAGCCAAATAAGTATTTTTTAAAAAGACTGAAAAATCAAACCAACACCGAGCCACAGGGAAGCCAAGCCCCCGCCCGGACCTCACCGTCTGCAGGTCCCCCACGTGTACGTGGCGCTCCACCAGGAAGCCGTAGACGTCCCCCACGCGGACGCTGCTGTCCAGGTGCGGCTCCTCCAGGAGCAGCTGGCACTGCCGGATCGACTCCTTGGGGTCCTCTGTGTAGGTCCTGCTGGGAGCAGGGACAGCCTGAGCCCCAGCCCCACACGGGGCTGCCTGTCAGGCGGCAGGGCAGGCCCTTGGCCTGGAGGATGCAGCTTTGTGAAGGTAACTGCCGTGAGGTCCATGAACTCACTGGTGAGTCATGTCATAAACTCACTGATTTGTTTAACAAAGTGTGCTGACCACTCGCAGGGCCACACTGGACTCTGGAGGGCACTGGCCTGTTCACGCCCCGCCCTACCCGGGGCGGGGGGCCTGGGCCGGAGGGCGAGGGCCTGGAGAGAGCGCACTGACCCGGGAGGGGCTTGCGCAGGGCCCCCCAGGGAAAGGCCAGCACAGCGACGCCAGAGGCTTGGCGGTTCCTGGTGCGTGCAGGTGAGGGCACTGGGAGGCCCCGCGAGCCCTACAGGCCTGTCCTCCAGTCCGTCCGGGCACCCGCCCAGGGCTGCGCCCACTCCCTCCTGCCACCCTGAGGTTCCTGAACCTGCACATGGAGCCGGGAACACCCTCCAAGGAGCCTGACTCTGTAAACGGCTTCAGAAGAGCCTGGGGCTCCTCTTCAGAGAGCCTGCTCTCAGGTAAGGAAAGCGCTTCTATTGATTTAGTCAGAAGCCGAGCTCGGGGCCCACATAAGGGTTTCAGAAGTGCTGCCTAAGTGGTCAGTAAATAAGATCTGGGGTCCTGGACATGTTCAGGGCTGGAAACAGCGGGCCTCCACCCTGGGCTGAGCTGACACCAGGGGCTGGAGCTCCCGTGCACCCGAGCGGGGAGCAGGCTCCCCTCAGGTATAGCCTCCCCGAGAACACATGCTTCCCTCGGGCATCTCGGGCTGTCTCTGAAGTGACCTTCCTAGAACCAGCCGGGTTCTGCGGGAGCCAGACGGGCCCTGACACCGTGCGAGGGGCCGCAGAACGTTCCTACCCACGCCCTGCCCGCTCTGCAGCGAGCTCCCAGGGAGAGGAGCCCTGTGGGCATCGTGAGCCCCATGGCCGCACCTGCGCGCCTGCATGAAGCGCTTCACCAGCGTCATCCTGCTCTGCAGCTGCGCCAGCCTGGCCTCCTGGTCCAGCGGGCTCCTAGCCTTGGCCTTGGACAGGCACTTGTAGGCCTCAGTCAGTGCTCCGTGCGCCTTGTCGTAGTTCTGGTACTCGTCGACCTCCACCTGCAGGAGGCGGCGTCAGGACCGGCACCCGGACTGGCACCCCGCCCCGCCTGGGCTGGGAGGCGGGTCAGCACCTGGGCACAGGCATCATAGAAGCCGGCCAGCAGGTCCAGCGCACGGCCCTTGGTGTAGAAGCTGATGATGCTCTTCATGACCTCGGGGTCCTTCCGCCAGTCCAGGGACTGCAGGTAGTTAGCCGCCATGATGTAGATCTCCTTCTGCCGCGAGACGCCCGCGAAGAACACAATTTTCTCCGTGTCCCCGGACTTGAGCAGCGCCCTCATGGCCTGAATGGAGAAAGAGCCGGGCTGGGCCCCTTCCAGGCACGTGGACGGAGCACCCACCCCATGCAACAAGTGCGGCTTCAGGACAAGGGAGGTCTGGGCTGCCAGGGCCTCGTGGGTGCCCCCGGAGCCCGGCCCGGGGAAACTCGCCCCGCAGGGCATGAGCGAGCACTGGCCACGCTCACCTTCAGCCTGTCCCCCGCCTGTGTGTACTTCTTGGTGGCCAGGTGGTAGCTGCCCTGGCGCATGCAGCAGCTGGCAACCTGCTCCAGCAGCGCCCGCCGGGCCTCCTCGGACAGCTCCTTGTAGTCCTTGGGCACCGTCATCTTCTCGGCCATCTCCTCAGTGATGGTCAGGTTTTGCTCCAGGCACAGCTGCAGGGCTTCCTGATACTGGGGGTCACAGACACCAAGGAGNTGTGAGTGTGCTGTCAGACACAGGGAGACAGGAAGCGGGGGGGGGGCGGGGGGCGCGTGCCGCGGCGAGGGGGACAGAGTCCTGGGGATGACAGGCACCACGGACGTCCCCGAGCTGCACACCCAGGAGCCCCACGGTATAACATCCATGGTATGTGCGCTGGGAAAGAGCGGAGAGGCCCGCACAGCGGGGCCGGGCCCTCCTGGGGAGCGGGCCTGCGTCTGCAGCTGTACCTTCTTGGCGGCCAGCAGCAGCTCCACAGCCTTCTCGTACTGACCGTGCTCCAGGAAGAAGTCGGAGCAACGTGCCAGGAGGGCGGGGTCCGACTTCTCATCCAGGTCCTCTGCCACCAGCTGCAGGGCCGCAAACTGCTGGGTGGCAAAGGCCAGCTCCAGGGCCTTGGAGAAGTGGCCGGCCTGCAGATGGCGGGGCTCTGAGTGTGCCATCCGGGCGCTGCCGGGCCGGGCCGGGCTAGGCGGGGCCGCCTCACCTTGTGGTACAGCATGACTGCCCGGTCCATCTGCTCGCCCCTCTCCTCGTAGTAGCGCGCGGCTTCCAGCATGTCCTCGGGGGAGCTCAGCAGGGCCAGGTTCATGAGCTGGTCGTCCAGGCCGTGCTCCTGCGGGGGCACAGACATGCTGGGGACTGCCTGGCGGGAGAGTCTCCCCTGGAATGGGACCCTGGAGCGGAAGCAGGGGTGCCCACCTTGCACAGGCGAATGGCGTTGTTGAAGGCCTGGGCACGCGTGTAGAAGTGCACGGCCTGCCGCACCTCGTTCTGGCTCTCGTACTGCCGGGCCAGGTGGTAGGAGGCTGCCCAGTTCCCAGTCTCGCTGGCTATCTCGGCGGCCTGGAGACACCAGGGATGGTGGCCTCGCGTCCAGCCCGCCCTGCTCCGGTGGGATCCCGTCCCCCTCACCTGAGCACCGGCCCCCTTCCCAGGAGCACCCACGCCCCGTGTGCCCCCAGCCCCGACCCAGTCGGGGCACCCACCCGTTGGATGTTGCCCTGGAAGCAGTGGACGCGGACCAGGGAGAAGTAGTCCTGGGCCAGCTCATAGTAGTGCAGCGCCGCGTCCATCTTGGCCTGGCTCTCCAGGTACTGGGCCCACCACCGCCACAGCGTCCTGCAGTGGACGCCTCTGCTCAGGCTCTCTGCCCCGGCCCACAGCAGCCAGGTGGCCGAGCCCGAGTGAGGTCCCAGGGAGGCCCCCGCCCAGCCGCCTGGGGTCCAGCCTGGAGGGGCTGGGATGCTCCATGCCATCGCATGGAAGGCTCCTGAGGGAGGCCCCTTGGGCCGGCACTCACTTGTCCTTCATCTTGCTGATGTACAGCTTCAGGGCCTGCAGGTCCTCCGCCAGCATCCGCGGCACCTCAAAGCGGTGTGTGTCCGACTTCTCGTAGCTGCGGGAGGAGAGGCAGCGTCACTCACCCCCTGCCCTGGTTCAGTCCTGGGGACGCGAGGAGAGATGGCACCTCGCCTCCCGCTTGCAGCTGTGCTCCTACTGCAGGCCCCACCTCCACACGGCCCAGGTAGGGGTCCAGGCCCGGCGGGGCCCATGCACTCGGCCGCCCGAGCCCGGCTGCTCCCCCTAGAACCACACGGCTCAGGCGGCCCCCGCAGCTGTGCTGGCCTGGCCCCTCCCCGGAGAACCTTGGACCCTCAGGGCTCTCACTAGCTGAGGGCCAGGTTGCAGTCCCCGCTGGCCTCCAGGTGCCGGGCATAGTTGTAGTAGGTGGTGCGCAGATGCACGCGGTCGTGGCGCTCGGCCACCTCGATGGCCCTCTGCCACTGGCCTGAGGCCTGCAGCAGGCGGTTGAGGAGGTCATAGCGCCCACACCTCTTGTAGAGCTGCTCCGCGTCCTCCTGCAGGAACAGGTGGGGTGCAGGCACTTTGGGGTGCAGGCAACCTGCCTTTCAGCCGGGGTTGGAACCCCCACCCCATCGTCGAGGGGCTGATGGATCCCATCAGAACCGGGGGTGTCCACTCCCTCACCCCACCCCCCGTTATAGCCTCAACTTGTCCAAGGAGTTTTCTGCTTCCTGCGACCCAATGGCCCAGATAAGCCCGCACGGGTGGGGAGCGGGCACGCGCAAGGGGTGTCCCACTCACCAGCATGCCCAGCTGCACGGCCAACATGGCCACCCTGGCCTCCGGCTCTGGCTCCTGCTGGGCCTCGCGCAGCGCTCGGGCCCCCTGGGCGTGGCCCATGTGCCCCAGGCACACCCTGGCCACATCCAGCCGCTGCGTCTTCACGCACATGCGCGCCATGTTCTCCCAGACGGCCTGGCTGCGGCAGAGGACACGGGGCTCAGTGAGCAGCCGCCCCCTGTGCCAGGCAACGTGGGGACCTGGCCAGACACAAGGTCCCTGAGGAGGGGGCCACGTGCGAGCCCCACAGCTTCACCCACAGAGCAGCTTGGCAAGCTGGGGCCCACAGGCCCTCCCGAGGAGGACGCAATGACAGTCCTGTCCCCCGGCCCACAGCTGGGACCCTGCCCCTTGCCAAGACACCCCCTCTGCTGCCATCCCACGAAGACTGGGGGCGTCCTGCACAGGCCGCCAGCCCCGCCGTGCCCCTAAGAGCACACCTGCCCCCCCCCCACCAGCACCTCCATCCCAGGCTGCACTCCTCGTGGCCCTGCGTCCTCCCACAGAGACCCTGGGTCAGCTGGGGAGTGGGTACGACACCCGGATGGGAGTGAGGGTCCCGGGAGCCGGCCTGCAGAGCTGCTCTCTGAGCCCCCGGCACAGGCTCAGGGCGGGGCTTCCTTTCTTCCTTTCAGAGGTTTCCGACGTCTCTCTCCCTCCCACCCCAGCAGGTCGGGCCTCCCCAAGAAATGAGAAATGAGGTTGGTGGGAGGGAGGGTGCTCCATTCCCAGATGACCCCACGGCCCCGACGAGCACAGACCAGTAACTCCTGGGACGTGAGCGGCTGGTGGACCTACCCTGCCACCAAGACGTGCTGGAAAAAGCCCGTGGGAAGTGCCGTCCCTGCACGCTGGCTGCTCTGACAGCAGCTTCACCCTGCATGGGTCCTGGGGTCCATACACCCAATGGACAGGCCATGTGGACACCGGCCCAGTGCCCGTCTGATTGTGAGAACTCCCTGCCACCCGGGCCTGTGTATAGACTGTACCCTCAACATAAGGGGCAGGGGGGCTCCTAGCTCCTGACTCTCCAGGAAGCCCGGGCCCCGCAGAAGCTCCTGGGACACGCCAAGGCCCCTCCTCCTGGGCTGCCCGTGGAGACCCCAGTGGACGGGGCCGCGGTGGACGACAGCCTCACGTCCACCCAGTGGCACACACGCCGCTGTGCTTCTGCCGGGCATCCCTGCTCTGAGGTTACTCTCCTGTGAGTCCACATGCAGGAGCGCGGAAGCCTCAGGGGCTGAGGGCCCGGCTCGCGGGGGGCAGCAATCAGAGGACGAGGGGACCTTCGGATGGTGAGGTCACCCCTGACTCAGGTCTGCTCCTAGGCCCCATCCCAGCTGTCCCCTCCGCCCAAGGCTGGGGGCTGAGAGGGCACTGGCCTGCTGGCCCACAGGCACCCAGGTGGGTGACCCGGCCTGTGGCCTGCCCAGCCCGGGAAGACAGAGCTGGGACTGCCATTCCTGAAACCACTACTGCTGTCCAGCGGAAGACAGCCACGTGAAGACTGACTAAGGGGGGCTCCTAGCTCCTGACTCTCCAGGAAGCCCGGGCCCCGCAGAAGCTCCTGGGACACGCCGAGGCCCCTCCTCCTGGGCTGCCCGTGGAGACCCCAGTGGACGGGGCCGCGGTGGACGACAGCCTCACGTCCGCCCAGTGGCACACACGCCGCTGTGCTTCTGCCGGGCATCCCTGCTCTGAGGTTACTCTCCTGTGAGTCCATGCGCAGGAGCACGGAAGCCTCGGGGGCTGAGGGCCCGGCTCGCGGGGGGCAGCAATCAGAGGACGAGGGGACCTTCGGATGGTGAGGTCATCCCTGACTCAGGTCTGCTCCTAGGCCCCATCCCAGCTGTCCCCTCCGCCCAAGGCTGGGGGCTGAGAGGGCACTGGCCTGCTGGCCCACAGGCGCCCAGGTGGGTGACCCGGCCTGTGGCCTGCCCAGCCCGGGAAGACAGAGCTGGGACTGCCATTCCTGAAACCACTACTGCTGTCCAGCGGAAGACAGCCACGTGAAGACTGACTCAGGAAGAGCGACTTAAGTAGGTAAGGAGGGAAGGCAATGCTCTGCTCTCAGAAGCTCTCAGGAAAACCTCCTTCTGAGGTGAGTGCACCGTGTGTGCAGGGACCCCAGCCCATGGCCCCCTTGGGGGGGGGGCCCCTCCGCCGGGTGCAAGGAAGGTGGAAGGACCGCTAGCACCCACCAGACACAGCATGGCTGGTGGAGCAGGGGTCAGCCTCGCCTCTGGCCCCGAAGGAGGGAAGTGGTGAGAACTCAGCTAGCGCGTCTTCTGTGAGCCCTGGTGGGAAAAACCCAGAAGAGGTAAAAATCCCCTGGGAGCTGATGGCCCCTGCCTCTCAGGAATGTAAACTTGGCAGCCCCTGGGACCCAGAGCGGGCGGGGCCTCGGGGGGCTGACCCGGTCCCGCTGGGAGTCAGCACAGGCAGGCCGGGCCGGGTGAGGGTCTGAGAGCCCAGCAGGCTGGGCCCGTCAGCGTCCACAGCAGACGCGGCCTGGCTCTCACTCGGGCTTCGCTGGGTGCTCAGCTCACCCACAACCCCCTCCTGCACATGGATGACAGCCTGCTCTGGGGGGCCTCCGAGTGTGGGTGAGGGTCTTGGCTGGGAGGTAAGGGCATCCAGGGCCCCCAGCACCGTGTGCGGAGAGTATCCATGTGCTGGGGGAGTGGCTGAAGGTGGGGGGGGGACGCCCCATCCCCGGAGCGGACGGCTGGCCCCCACCCATGCCACCCGCCGGGGCCAGACAGACAGTGGGCCCGACGGCGGTGGGGAGTGCACGTCGCTCCCAGGGAAGGTGGGGTGCGGGGGAGGGCCGCGGAGGCCTCCCGAAGAGGCCCCTGCCTTTCCCATCAGGAAACACATCCTGTGGGCGTCTGGCCGCTATTTGTTGCAGTTGGCTACGCCCTCTGGCTCTCCAAAAACAGCCTCAAAAACAACCATTTCCTCCCTGCCGAGAGACGGGGAAGACGCAGGCGCGAGGCACACTCACACACGCACGCACCTCCTCTGCCGTCTGCTCTCCAGGCCCAGCTGCTCCGCGGCAGAGGCGCCGGCAGGGGCTCAGACCCGCCGCCCGCTGCTCCCCGTCGCCCCGCTCTGCGCCTGCCCCGTGCTGGTCCCTAGAGCGGCCAGCCCCGCACCCTCCAGCCTCGCCTGCCTGCGGGTTTCTGCGCGCCGCGGCCTCCGCCCCCCAGGAAGACGGCGCACTCAGGACTCGGGGCTCTCGCTGCTGCCCCTGCGTGCCCCCCGGGATGGGAGGCCCTGGCCTCGGCGCAGGCCTGGCGCTGCTCCAGGTGCAGGAGGCCGGGTAAGGGGCCCGCAAGGCGGGCACCCCCGCACCTGCCGCCCAGGCCTTCCCGCCACCACCGAGCATGAGTGGGGACGTCCTCTAGCCGGCCCCGCTGACACACTGACCGACCGCGGCTGGGACTCCCCCCACAACGCGAGCCAGCACCGCGGCTGCGATGACCGTCCGCAAAGTGGTGGCCACGGCCGTGCTGGTGGCCCTGGTCTCTCTCAGAGCGGCCCCGGGGGGCGCCCGGCCCGGGGGCCAGGCCAGCGCCAGCTGACGCGCGCGACTGCGAGGCCCTGGGCTGGGGCTCCGACGCGGCCGGCTTCCAGGAGTCGCGAGGCACTGTCAAACGTAAGTCGGTTTGTCTCACCGCCTCCTTTAGAGTGGCCGTCCGTGCGCGCAGGCTGGCTGAGGGGAGAGGCACACCTGGGGACTCGGGTGCGCCCCAGGCTCCACTCCCACCTGCCCTGGTCCCTTTGGGACAGAATTCTTCCTGTGCAGGAGGGCGATTTTCTCTGCCATTATGCATAGCTAGGGGACGGATACGGTAACTGAAGCAAGGAAAACGTGTTTTTCGTGGTGGAAAATAAAGATTGCTAATGAGTGAAATAAACAAGGCGCTTAAAGCACGTGGCTGGGTTGCGACCTCGCTCCACAGCCGTCAGGGTCCTTAGGGCTGTGGGCAGCACTAGGGGGACTCTCGGGGGGCTGGCTGGAGGTGGCAGCCCAGCAGAGACAGGCAGACTGAGGCCCGCGGACGGCAGGGAGGAGCCCAGGTCCCCGGCTGCCCCACTGCCACCAGCGGCCCTGTCTGGTCGGTCACGTCCGGCACGGGGTCTGGAAGGTGGGAACTTGACCTTGAAAGCAGGGTTGGGTTTGAACATTTGCGAGGGAAGGTCCAGGCACATGAAGACGCCAGACACTGAGCGTGTGGATGCGGGGTCACAGCGGCCGACGTGAAAGGCCGCCACCCGGGCTGGCGACAGCCCATGACAGCTGTGGACAGTCCCCGACGCACAGACCTCCTTCCCTTTCTGAAGGTAGCTCTCCTTCCAGGAGAACGCAGCCTCCAGTGGGGCTTCGGCCGGCACAGGCACGACTGCCCCCAGCCAGCTGGGCCCCCGGGACTAGGCCTCCTTGGGGCCCCTTGGGAGCTGGCTGGGGGCTGTTGTCTCCACTTGGCAGGCAGAGACAGGCTGCAGGAGGCGCAGGGTCCCGGTGAGCCGCTGAGGGGACGCCTCCCCGTCTCTGCAAGTGGAGCCCTCACTGCACAGCTGGGGGGTGTCTCATGGGGAGCGGCCAGCCCCCCACCCTTCGTAAGCAGTGGGCCAGAGCCTCCCTTAACGCAGGCAGAGCCTGGAGGAGTCTGCCTGTCCTGTGAGCTCTCAGACCAGGGTTCTGTGAGACGCTGGCAGGTCCTCTGAACCTGGGGATCTGGGACCTGCCCGTTGGAGGGGGGTCCTCTCTGGGCTCTGGATATGTGGTGAGGGGCAGTGGGAGCCAGTGACCGGGGCTCCAGCATGGGCCCGGTGCAGGCCACGCCTCCCCGACCCCCAGGGGCCCTGTGCTCCCCTATAGGCTCCCCCACCTCCCGGGGCTCACGGCTGCCTGCCACAGCCCCCAACACCACCACGCAGGTGCCCGCTCCAGGCACCCCCCACCTGCCCCCTTGCTGAGCCAGGATGCAGCCTGTTCTGGAGTCCCACGCCCGCCCTGCCGTGAGTCCCAAGCGGCCGCTCACCTGCCCTCACTCACTGTCCCACCTGCCTGCCACCTGAGAAGCCCCTGAACAGCTCTTAGAATGGCCTACTCCCTTACTCAGCACTTGC